CTGAGATAAGCACCTACCTTTCCTTTCCACATCTTTATTTTTTCCTGCAGAAGTTAGGACCTCATTATGACAGTCTTGTTAGAAAGTTAAAAGTTGTGCCCTGGAAACGTCTTAATGTGAAATCTTAATATTACATAATGAGTGTATAAAGATGGGAGACCATCCCTCAACCTCAGTCTTTAAAGGATGTTATTGTTGTTCTCAAAATACTTAAAAGCGTGAGGTTTCACAACCCATCTTGGTAAACAAGGGTTTTCTAGAAGAGTTCACCTCCTCTACTCATTAGCAGGATACTTGAATTTAAATTTAGCTACTGCATATTTTTATAAAGTTTATTAACCTTCTGTAAGTTACTGATTTCCTCAGCTTTTCCTTACCTGACGTTGCTATTTCTTTGTAGAGTCAGAGATTATCAAGGCTCGAGAGCTTTTATTGAGGTCCCCTTATTTTACTAATGAAGAAAATGAGGTCTAAACGAAATGATGGCTTGGGCTTTATGGTGAGTTGGTGGTATAACTAGGCATCACCTTTCTAGCTTCCAGCTCTGAGCCCAGCTTAGAAGTACACTGTTTCTTCCCTTAACCAGGACTTTAAATTTCTCTTCTCAGAACTCTGAAGCTTTCTACTTTAAAATTTAAAAGAAACTCATTCGTGGCATGTATGGCTCCCCCAAATGGAAATATTGCACTTGTTCCTTTGAAGCCTTATTGGGGAAAGTACTACGTAAAGAGAAACTTATTCTAGAGGTGCACCAGAGCAACTGTGGGTATGATCTCTCTTCTCTTCTCTTCTAAATTAATGGCAGCAGAAGATCTGGTGCACTTTCTCTGTGCTTCTTTTTTTTCCCCCCATAAACCCCTTTAACTGTATGTACATCATCTACTTCAAGAGAACCTGACACTTGTTCTAGACCCACCCCATTTGCCTCAGTCTGACCCCAAGACCCCCTCCACATGGGAGGAGCCATAATTCAGTGATAGGGCACTAACAGCCAAGTGCAAAGCTAAAGGGATGATGGGAGCAAAGGTCTCCCATGACCTCCTTAAACCTATTTTGTCAGCTACTCCCATGCATTTAATGTGTAGCCCTTCCCTTTTGACTTTCTGTCCACCTCCTTTCCTACCAACAATTTCTCCTAATTGTTCTGATCTTCTAGAACACTATAGCCTGATATAGAACCTTTGCATGCATCTTAAAAGTTTTCTTAAGCACTAATTATATCCTTAAAGAACAGAAAGTAAAACGCTTCTCATGGGTAATCAGTTCCCTTCAAGTTTGCCAGTATTTTTCTGTGTTTCTTGATACTCCTGTTCCTCTCATTTCTTTCTAAAGGAAAAGCTTAACATTCATTCTTCACTATAACTGGAACATTAGAACCATACAAGAATATAATTTTTAGGACCTTGACAAATATAGGCCAGGGAAAAAAAAGAATAACAATGTAAGAGTTTACATTTAAACAATTTCCACTAATCTCTTTAAAAAAAACTCTGATCTTTAATCATGATGTAATGCTTTTAAGAAAAATGAGTACATCATGTGTACTGAGTAATGGTTGATTGTGGTTTTATAAAAAATTTACATCTGCAAATACCTAGTTATAAATAGGTGCCTCTTAGAATAGCAATTCAAGAAGGATACATTGGAGGGCTAGACGCAAGTGAAAAGGCTTATGAGGATATAGATTTAGCTTTTAACAAAGACCCAAACCTAATATCTTAGCTTAAATATGATAGAAGTTTATTTAATGGGAGAGCTCCGATCTCTGGAGATAGGGTTTCAGAAGCCTAAGCTTGTTCTTCGTGGCTCCCTGCTCTTGTCTACATGGCCGAAGATGGGTCACCAGTGCTGGGCCCATATTGCAACAGCAATAAATGGCTCACTTCTCACTTCTGCTCACTCCGCATTGGCTGGTCACATGGTCACATGGAGGCACCTCCCTGCAAAGGAGGCTGGAAAATGTCCTTAGCTGAGCAGCTTATTACTGCAGAAAGAAGGAAAGATGGGATAACAAGGAACAACCACCAGTCTCTGTCATTTGTAAGAGGTTAAGTTATAAGGACCAGAAAAACTTTTATCACTTTCATCTGTTAAGCCAAAGAAATTTATCTTTCGACATGAGAAAACCAAGTGGAAAAATATATGTGATTATCACCTCACAAAGCTATCTATTAAAATCCAACCAATCTGTGAAAAGTGGTTTTGGAAATTTGTCCTTCTAAAGTTATTCCTTCTATTTTTGTGGTGACCATTTCACAGCATATATGAATGAATACAGATCATCACATTGTATACCTAAAACTAATGTAATCCGTCAATTATTCCTTGATTAATTAATTAAGTCTTTCCAATGTTCTCTAAAGATAGTGTGAGGAAAGGCCTTGCTGGGCCAGAGCTGACATGAGGGTCAACCTAAGCAAGAAGGGAGCTTACTGGGGAGCCTGCTCAAGGAAGGAGGACAGCAGACTTCAGGGGGTGAAGCTCGAGGCACCAGATTTTGTGTACTTAATCACAGAACTTGGAGTGTGAGAGTTGAGAGGTGGGCAGAATCCACTACCCTAGTGAGGTAAGGACCACCAAAACAGAGGTTATGAGGACTGACCAGAATTCTTTATCAGGGGGTCCCAGTTGAGGCAAATCAGGTGCAAACCACTGTTGCGCATAGCCAAGGGGACCGCTCACTGTAAACCGCAAGGGAGAGTAGAGCAGGACCCTGGGCAGCACCGTGACCAAGTGAGTGAGGCACTGGAGAGAAACAAGGCAGCAGTGAGGGAGAAGGAAGAGAAGCCAGACATTATTGATGGCCCTAGATCAGGGTGCTGACACAGCAAGGTGAGCAAGACGAGAGAGAGTCACAGCCACAAGAGTTAGGTTCATGAGAAAATTATAGTCATAACACCCCAGAGTCAAAAAGTCCTGCTAGCAGACTAAGAGCTTTGAGACCTCCCAGCTATTATTAATGAGATTCTGCCCCGGAATTGACAGGAAGAGAACTGACAGGCCCTAATGGTCATTTAGCCTTTTTTAGGACTGAATTATTGCGATATCACCAACCATTTAAGAAGTAAGTATAAGGCGCCTGGGTGGCTCAGTGGGTTAAGCATCTGCCTTTGGGCTCAGGTCATGATCCTGGAGTCCCAGGATCAAGCCCCACATCAGGCTCCCTGCTCAGCAGGGAGTCTGTTTTTCCCTCTCCTTCTGTTCTTCCCCCATTCTACCCACCCCCCATTTGTGTTGTCTCAGTCGCTTAAATAAAATCTAAAAAAAAAGAAAAAGAAAAGAAAAAAGGAAACATAGTATATATAAGAATCCTTAGCACTGGAATATGGATGTTGCTGGCATGAATGTTCTCATCTTTACCTTTTTCAAGAAATGCCTTGTGGGGCGCCTGGGTGGCTAAGTGGGTTAAGCCTCTGCCTTTGACTCAGGTCATGATCTCAGGGTCCTGGGATCGAGCCCCGCATTGGGCTCTCTGCTCAGCAGGGAGCCTGCTTCCTCCTCTCACTCTGCCTGCCTCTCTGCCTACTTGTGATCTCTCTCTCTCTCTCTCTCTCTGTCCAATAAATAAAGTCTTAAAAAAAAAAAAAAGAAAGAAAGAAAAGAAATACCTTGTTTCATAGCAAACTGAAAATAGCTCTCTCCAGTGGAACTTTCAGTTTCATGAACCAGTCCATACTGCCTGAGCTTCAACAACAGGAATACAGATTTCCTAGCTCACCCTATCTGAGCGTCGCCTCTGTGATAAAGATGTACTTGCAGAAAAGACAAAGTTGCATTCATGAAAGCAGTAGAAAATCGGAGAAATATTAGAGTCTTGTAATGTAGTCTTATAAAATAGTTGCGGTCGCAATATGGCAATAATCAGTGTATAGTACTTTGTAAATTACAAAATGCTTTAACAAGACGTTGATTTCATTGAAATAAACACTCTGGAAAGGATACCATTTTGTAGGCGAGCAAGCTGACTTGGAAAGTTTTCGTAACTTATCTGAGAGACTGTGATGAAAATATTGTGACAAAAAGGATTAAACACAGGTGTTTTAATTCCATGTCCAAGGCTCTCACCCATAGGACCCCTGCCTCTTCTGAACTTTAAGGGACTGCATGAGCTTTCTCATTTACTCGTGCATACATTCAACAACTGTTCGTCACTCACCTCCTCTAGGGCCGGTCATTATGCCAGGCACTGAGGATGTTGTGACCAACAAGACGTCCTCTCTGCCTTCACAGCCAGCTTGTGGTCTGGCGAAGGACAGAAGCATGTAATCCACCCTGACCGCTGTGAAACAGTGGGGTGTGTGCAGCAACAGAAGGAATGTAGCAGGCTGTAGGAGCATGTGAGAAAGGGATCTCCCCAAATCATGAGTCAGGAGAGGCTTCTCAGAGGAGCTGATATTTACGCTGAGTCCCCCAGGTGAGTAGGAGTTGAAGGAAGAAAGAGTGTTCCAAGCCAAAAATAAAGTCTGTGTGATGTGAAGTCATTGCAGAGGGTGAGGTGATCTCAGATCAGGTCCAGAATAGGGAAAGAGGCAAAGGATTGACAAGTTCAACTTAGTGTGTGCGTTCCTAGTACTTGGCTACTGTGAGATTTCATCTGTTCATCCATCCATCCATCCAACCATCCATCCATCCATCCATCCACAGTAGGTGCTGTTGAAAACCTTTTATTGAGAAACCTAGTACTTTCAGGCAGTGCCGAGTGATAAAGAGGGCATAAGGACACACAAGACATTATCCCAACTAATGTGAAGCTTGAACTTTAATTGAAGAGGTAAACCCGTGTATGTATTCCTGGATATGCAAGCTGGGCAGAGCAGGTGTCCTAAAAGGTGCTCTAAGGAGTTACCACTGGCCAGGAGGATGGTACCTGGAGGGAAATGTAAGTTTCAGCGATAACGTTAACAGACCAACATCAGACTGAACATTGTCCACATTTTTTGTGTGTCTGTTTGCTTACTGGTTTTGTTTTGTTTTGTTTTCTGAAATTTGTTCTTCCATAGATACTGTGGCAACGGCATCCGGGCCACTGCTAGTCGAAGTTGCCAAAACTCCTGGTGCCAGCCTTGGGGTTACCCTCACTACCTCGATGTGCTGTAACAAACAGGTCATTGTCATAGACAAAATCAAATCTGCAAGTATTGCAGACAGGTGGGTGTTGTACAAAGTGCCTACTTTTCAAAACTGCGTGTGCTAAAATATAAATATATATATATGTATTTCTATGTATATACACACATGTAATACTTACATATGTACACATGCATCACACACATACATATATGATTAAAGAAAACAATTCACCTGCCCATTTATACGAGTTTCATGGAGAAAGCAAGTTACGGTTCTAAGGGCTTAAAAATTCACCTACCTTATAGCCACCCCACCATGTTCTGTTGTCTCATCCGATGTTTGGTGTGGCTGTTAGAGATAGGAAAAAAGAAAGTCAAGCAACTGAACTAGTTTTCCTACTGTGTTCTAGGGCGATAGATTGCTTTTGGTGTAGGGTAGCAGAGCATGTCTTCAGTATGCTCCCTTTAGAGAAGTCATACGTTTTCCTGAACTGTTAACAAGTAAATCTTGCCAAAATCTGATAAAAATCTCATTCCTTTTTTCTTAAATGAGTAAAACAGTATTTTTGAAACAATGCAGTCTTTAAAGAGAGGTCTCACGCTGTCACATAATGTTCATCTTAGGGTTTCACAGTTTTCAAGGGCCCCTGAAACAGCACTCGTTCCTATGACACCATGAAAACAAAAGCCCTTCTTCCTGAGTTTTTCTTCCTAATTACTGTTTTAGACTTACAAGGTAAGAAGTGTTGGAGGCAAAAAGACTACCTGCCCACCTAATAAATTATTTCCCAGCTCCTGGTAAGAAAACCCCTACTTCCATCGCTGAAGCTCTCCAAGGGCATCGGTACGGAATTTGATTTTTAGATGAAAGGGATGACTTGAAATGCTTTTTTTTTTTTGTTTTGTTTTGTTTTGAGAAGGAGACTGTTCTCACCGTGGAAATTGCTCCATACACTCCGAGAGGCCCCACCTCCCCTGCATGTTTTCAGCCTCTTTTCCATATGCCCTCACCCTCCCTAGGAAGCCTCGCACTCCAATGCAGTAACGTGCAGCAAACCCTGTAGTGGTCGGTCTGCAGCTGCACTGTGGTCAGTCTTCAGCTCCTGCAGTGATCAGTCTACAGCTCCACTGTGGTCTTACCCTACATTCGGTCCTTTTCCAGTGACGGCCATTGATCCAGGGGTGTTCTCCAGTTCAATGGTGCAGGATGCTTTAATTTTCTCCCTGTTTTTTTTCCCATTCCGCAGGGGGTAACCAGTTTAAGGAGCTGTCCACTTGACTGGTACGTCGGGATGCTGACTGCTGTGTTTGCTTTTCTCAACTCATCCAGTAGCCAGTCTCTTTGAGTTCAGCAAGATGTAGCAGCTAGCTCTTCCCCCGGCCCCCAGCTTTCCCCTTCGCTCACCAAGCAGGCCTCCTTTTTGACTCTTTTGACTCCTGCATAATTTCCATCACCATCGAGAGCTTTTGTACTAATCATTGTTTAACTCCAGAATAACAAAATAAAGTAGAATAATTAAAGCAGTGGTGATTTGGCAGCTCCTGTGAGAGGTTCTGAGAAAGCGTTAGCTGACACTCTCCCCACCCCCCAGTTATTCCCATTCACACATAAAATAGTTGTAAATGAGCCCCTTCCAATTATGAGTCACATCTTGACATTCTGAATATTTACCAGCTCGTATTTACAGATATAAAAACTAACAAGGGAAAAAAAAATCACAGGAAAAAAAAAATAAAGCCAAGGGGAAAAATTGTCCTGTTCTTCTCTTCCCTCCCACTCACTTCCCTTCAACTTTTGGCAACGCCACCCCAAAATAATCTCTTCTTTTTTAAGAAGCACGAGAGAAAAACGTTTCCTTGAGTTTTTCTGTTATTTTCTACATTCCTATTCACACGAGAGGTACTTAACATTTGACAGATGGTGTTTCCTATAACATTCAAACTTTTCCTTTCTTAAGTCAATTGAAACTGTGTGAAACATTAACTTTGAAGGACGTGAAAGTCATATTCCAAAGCGGAAGGTGCTTCTACTGAGTACGTGTCCTTTCCCTTTCGGTAGATGTGGTGCCCTGCACGTGGGAGACCACATCCTGTCTATCGACGGGACGAGCATGGAGTACTGTACATTAGCGGAAGCCACTCAGTTCCTGGCAAACACCACGGACCAAGTCAAGCTTGAGATTCTTCCCCATCATCAGACCCGCCTGGCCCTGAAGGGACCCGACCACGGTGAGAGGACCCGTCTAGATAATTCTCTTTATCTTCCCCTTGTACTTACTGCCTCTCCAGCAGAGTTCGAGGGGAGAGACAGGGAGTCTACTCCTGGCTTTATTTCTTTCAAAGCTGCAGATTATCTTTGTTGGCTTTTCTTCATCTTCCAGATCCTTCCCCCCACCCCAATCCCTGAGCCAAACATAATTTATTTGAAACCTCGGAACTGAGGAAAGAAACAGGGTTTGAAACAGAATTTTCAGGCTTGTACTATTTTTTTTTTTTAAGCCTTTGTTGCGAATTGAGTGTGGAGAGAAAGGAAATAATTGGACTTCCTGCTAGGCATATTGAATTTCCATTCTACTTGAAGGACAACAAAGGCAAATTGTAAAACTCTCACTTTTTAAAAAATAATTATGAAGTGGGTATTAATGGCACATCCTTCAAATATTTGGAGAGGAAAAAAAACAAAAAACAGTCATGAGAAAAGTTGACTTTCTCTATATATTGTCTCTTTGCCAGAGTAGCTTTTTGGGATGGAGAACTACCTCTGTGACCAAGGACCATTCCTGGGAGTATCAGAATGTTTGACTCCATTTATCCAGTAACAGCTGCCAGCTGAGGGGACCCACATCTGTACTGTACGGACACTCACAGAAATGTGTGCTAAGTGTTTATATACCCACCTCTTAGGTATCTTTAAACAAAACCTGGTACAAGGTAAAGGACTTAGAACCCCAAATCACATGAAGAAATTCTCTCTAGTGGAGTCCTTGTTCCAACTCCTTCTCCTTTTCCTCACACCAAGCGGCCTCCTTTTTTATTCCTTGAAATCGATTCCTTGATGCTTCAGGAGTGCTGTCAGGGGGCCCGACTGGAGAAGAGCTTTTTTTCTTTTCTTTTTTTTTTTTTAGAGAAAGAGAAGAACTTTCCCCAGAACTGAAATTTTGCTTGTGAGGATATCATTTGTTATCCTGTGTCTCCCACCTTCTGAAACCCACTGCACTTTGGGGGATTTAAAAAAAAAAAAAAAAAAAGACCAGATCATTTTCATACTGAATGAGTCAGCTGGATGCAACCTTTTTTAATTAAATGGAGCTTAGACAGCCCTGGAGCTAATGAAAATCTCTAGAAAAGCATTACCTTTATCAGATTTTAATTTGACACAATGGAGCAGAGAAGTGATGTGGTAGAGGCAGGTTAGGGAAGGAAACTCTGCCTCCTTTGACTAGAAACGGTAAGGGGTTCATGGGAATGTGCCCCGTTTCCACTCAGGAGACCCCACAGGGCATACTGGCAGAGGGGAGAGATTTCTAAAACTAAGTTTCTTCTAAATTAGCCCAAAGTCGTCACCGGATCTGGACCACAGCGGGTCTATGAACGCACACAGTGTCGTGCTTTCTCTGCGTGAGATTCATTTTGGTAAATTCTGCTGTCAAGAGTATCAGACTAGGGAGCAGACCCTTGCAAAATGTCATTATCTTTAGCAGCCCCGTTTCCCCCTTTTTATTGGCCCTGTGTACAAATCATAAGTAGTTCAACTAGTTTCCAGCGCATGAAATATTAAAAATTTTTACCTGTCAAGACAGTTTGAGAGGGTGCATTTATATACTAAGAGACATGGAGACCAAGAACAAAAAAAAATTTTTTTTCACTGTGGAAAACCTGATGTCATTGTGATTTTTTTGGAGAGGTGGAGGATGAGGACTGGTAGTTGAAGTAATTCTAGCTTCCGCTTCCGACCTTATCATCTACTTTGGCTGACAGTACCATTTTTCTTATCTAGCCTACAGGCATTTCCCTGCATTTTACATTAAAATCAGACTTGCATTTCCAAGAGGACAAAAGTATTGGCTCCATAACATAATTTAATCACAGTTAAGAAGGGAGGGAAAATACCTAAAGAATTTTATGTATTTTTATATAATCTCAAACTTCTGAGGGTCTTTAATGTGGGAGAATGGTTTTACATAGTTTTTCCCTTTGTCCACAAGAAAGTTCTGGTTATTTTTTTCAGGAATTCTGATGCCTGAACAGCATTTCTCTCATTCCAAGGTGGATGGAGATATAGTTCCCAAATTTTGCTTCCCAACAAAGCATTCACTGCCACAGTGTTTTCAGAGAAATAAAGAAATGGGCACATCAGCTAAGAATGAGATTAACTGTGCCTTTTGCTGATAAATAGCACTAAAAATGCCGACATGGAGTTATTGTTGAGTTTCCAGTAAGGTTAGAAATTGGTCCCACTGAGGGTCTTTGGGAGACATAATCGTGATTGAAGTTCACAAGATTTTGGAGGAGAACACGGGAGCAGAGTGACACGATTCAGTACATTCAGTACCTGGAGAACCTTCCATCTGTGGCTCCAGCAGCAACCACAAAAGCCGCTATTGCCTGTTAGATATTCTGGACAGGGCAGGAGGGTACAGCGAGAGAGGGGAGCAGACAAAAGTCCCCTCCATGTCAGATACCTCATAAGACTCCAAGAGTGATGCCATCATGGGAGATGTAAAGAGCATTTTATTTTTAACTTGCTACACATGTGTCTCTATCAAATCCAGGAACACCCACAGGAAGAGGCCTTGTGTGGTGGTTCCAGGCAGGGACTCTTGAATCAGACTTGTAGACTTTATTCTGCCTCCACCCCTTGGGACCATAAGCAAGCTCTTCCACTCTTCTGTTCCTCAGTTTCTTTATCTGTAAGATGGGTGTAATAATAACAGCAGTGCCTGCCTCCTAAGTGTATTGTGAGAATTATCTGAGACAATCCATGAAAAAGCGTTTAGCACAACGCCTGGTATTTAACAAGTGCTCTTTGAGAATTGGCTGTTATTATGGGGACCATTAAACGGGAGAAGGTATAGAAATGGTTTTTGCAAAAATGTAACATTTTATCTTTAAACTCCTGAAATGGTTGTCCAACAAGCAAGTGAGTATCAAGTACACCACCATAAAACAGAATAGATTTGGAGAGTATGTTCAAAAGAGGCAATAACTGGTGTCCCTGGCCCACATTTTTGTTGAACACCTTTTGGATTCATTATGCATGGCATACAATCTCATGCCTTCTCTTACATCATTTTTGCCCCTTAGTATTTCATATATGTGAAGCTATAGTCATCAGGAAAAGCTCAAAGTCAAGGTACAGGTTACTAACCTACACTTAATCTGTTTGTAACAATTGGCACAGGGCTGGGCACCTAAGAGTGGTCAATAATATCTTTCTTACGGATTTGTTAATTGGGTGCTACAGTCACAAAAAAATGCCCAGTGATTTTCAAAGTCCTCCTTAAAGAACTGGATTAGAAAGTGAGTGTAGGATTCTAAAGTCCATTCTCTGTGCTCTGCCTTCATTTGAAACACAGACAGTACTGGGTAAGAAGTTCATTAGAGTGGCTGTTGCGGTGGATTAGCCAGACACAGCCATGACTGCATCTTTCTAAGAGGTCTTCTTGCACTCCCCAAAATAGAATGAGGATGGGCAAAGAGAATCCATTATGAACTTCCCCTGCAACACTCTTTATCACAAGGAAAATGCTGCTGCAGTGTGGACGGATACACTCTGGCTCGTTCTTATTCACTTACGCATTCATTCATTCATCCGTCATTATGGACCGGGCACTGTTCTAGCTGCTACAATACATCTAGTGAGCCAGACAAGCCAAGTAAATTCTCATGGAATTTTAGTATAGAGAGACAAACATTTAAAACATGTTAAATAAATAACACCATTTCAGACTGTGGTAAGTGCTGTGAAGACTAGAGAGTAGTAATGGGACAGCGTGGGATAGGGCAGCGAGGTAGCCCCCTAGCTGAGACCTGCATGAGAAGAGGGAGCCAACTCTGCGGGCAACTGGGAGACGAAAGAAGAGCACAGGCAAATGCCCTGTGGCAGGAAGCACCCTGGCTTATTCTAAGAATAGCCGTAAGACCAACACAATGGGGAGAATGATAGGGAGAAAGCTGGAGAGATAAGTAGGGGTCACATTCAATTCTCCTTGTAATTGTAACCCACTGAAGCAGCTTAAATGGGAGGGACTTGTTTAAAAGATTACCCTGTGTTGGGGTGCCTGGGTGGCTCAGTTGGTTAAGCGCCTGCCCTCGGCTTAGGTCATGATCCCAGAGTCCTGGGATCGAGTCCCACATCAGGCTCCAAGCTCCATGGGGAGTCTGCCTCTCCCTCTGTCCTCCCCTCTCATGCTCTCTCACTGTCTCTCTCTCTCAAATAAAATTAAAAAAAAAAAAAAAAAAGATTACCCTGTCTTACAGATACTGGGAGAGACATACGTAGTAGATGCATCGGGGAAGCAAGTTTGCCGGTGTTGCAAGGGTCAGGGAGATAATGGCTTGAAGCTAGGATATGGACAGGGAGCTGGAGCCCAAACTAGAAACAGGAGTGGGACAGAAGGAAAGGGCCCGGGGGGCACAGAGCTATAAAATTACGGTGCCTGTGCAAGTGCTCTGCAGATTCCTGAGATACCTGAGTGTCCAGTGAGTGAAATTTGTTAAGTGAGAGATAACATCTTTTTCCTTTAAGAGAGACTTTATGTGTAGCCAAGTGGATGGAAAAGAGGCAGACTCAGCCTATGTAGCAAGAACTGGTTTGTTTTCCTTGTGTGTACCAGCACCTTGTGAAGCACTGTGTGCATAATTCTCGTAATCGTCCTGCAGGGGAGATGCCTTCTCGATCTCCCCTTGACACGTGAGGAAACTGAGGCTTAGGGAGACTGAGTAACGGGCCAGGGTCCTATAGAGAGGGCTGCAGCCAGAACTAAAAGCTGGGTGGGTTGCAGCCCGCAGTGCCCTTCCCTGCTGGTGCTTTGGTTCCACGAGCGGTCTCTTCCAGAAAGGCTGCCAGGTGGCCAGTGGTGCTGATTATCACAGGTGGTACAACTTCAGCCATTATCTGAATGAGCCTCGTTCAAATACCTGTATTTAACCCTCTACATGAATAAATGTTGTTAAATAATTCACACGTTAGGCATCTTTTACTTTACTTTAGAATCATGACACTGAAAGGAGATATGAGTTCATGTGTTATTTTTAACTCTTTAAGATTGTTCAATAAAAAAAAATCTCATATCGGACGTAGTAACAAACATATGTCCTTGCCCCTCCTTCAGAATGCTGGGTAGAAAATAAAATCTAAATAATGTCAAAATTAGAATAGAAACACAAATACATTTTCTTTTTCAATAAAGGAGAAAGGAAAGTTTTGAAATAAGCTTTATTAAAACATTATGGCATCGATCACAGACCCATACCCCTGAAACAAATGATACATTATATGTTAATTTTTAAAAAGTTATGGCATCTTAAAATAGAACAACATATGAGCTCTTTTGAGAATTATTTCTTTCAAATGTAAACAATTTTTTTTTGAAAATACAAAGAAGTTTAAAGTATAATGAGACTTTTATTTTCTCCGTATAAGGATACAAATAAGATTTTGATATTGATGATTGAGAATGGGGTTTGGGGGGATTGTTTGTTGTTGTTGTTGTTGTTTTAAGAAAAATCAAGTCCAAGTGATGGATTGGAGTGTAATTACAATGTTGGAACAGGAGATTGTGATGTGTGGCTGGTAAACCACTCAAATCATGAGCCAATGTGATTTATTGTTCCTTCTTTTCTTTTTCTCAAAACAAGCACTACTAACTGTCCAAGATGTGCAAATCTTTAATTACTAGTCATGTGCCATAGATCTTTATGGGGTGGACTTTTAAGTGTTAAAAAAAAATGTTTTTAATCTCTGCTGCAAAGCACAGGGGGAGATTAGAAATTGATTCAATAGTCATTTTAAAGGGAGAAAAAAAATGGGCTGGGGGAAGACATGCATTATTCTTGGGAAGAGGAAAGGCTTCCATCCCTGATGTTAATCATCTGTTTTGCTGACCGCTGAGAAAGGGCAAAGGCAGTACATTTTGTTTTTCTTTTTTTGTAAGCAGCTTTCATTATTTTGGTTACACTTTTTATTTGTACAATTCAGTTACTTTTTCCTTTTTTTTTTTTTTTTTTTGGTTCTTTGTTTGTTTTTCTTATTTCTCATCATCACTTCATGTGGGCAGTGAAAATTCAGAGGAGCGACAGGCAACTTGCGTGGGATTCCTGGGCCGGCAACCACTGCAGCCTTCACACCTACCATCACCCTCATACGACCCACCCTGACCATTGCAGAATGCCGGCCCTGAAGGGCCCGAAAGCGCCTCCTTCCAACAGCCCTCGTAATGTTCCAGACTTTCTCCTCCTGCTCTTTTATTGAAATGATATTCTTCCTCTTCCTCATCTAATTCATACCATATTCGGCTTCATGAGTGTTATGTGCTTTTCTTTTTTTGTAGTAGCAAGTTTTTGTAGTAGCTTTTTTTTTTTTTTTGTAGTAGCAACTTACTATTTCTGACATTTGAGTCTTTTTTTTTTCCTTCAGAAAGCATTTGTCATTAGGGAGGGATGTCACTGTTCAAAAGGCTTTATATGTGGTCAGGAGATAACAGTTCCAAAGATTATGGAGACTACAATGTTCCCAGCGTTTCCTTGTGTATTTGGCACCACTTGGGAAATTCATGTCAGAATGTATCTATGAAAATGAGATGATGTACCTGATACATGGAGTTGTCGTTTATGGGGAAACTTGTTTTAATGCTTATTTGTGTGTGTCTAAAGCAGTGTGGATAGCGCGTCTCTGTGTTTCATTGTGTTCCCGAGGGTCGTGGTGCCCCTCAAGTGGTTGTAGGCTCTGGGAACTCAGAGATTCTGAAGGGCTGTCTCCATGGCCTCCGAGACCTGCTCTCTGTCTGGTTGGGGTCCTTCCTAGCCATTGCTGTGCATCCTCTGTCTTTGTGGATCATTGCTGGTTGGCAACGGTAGCAGGCGCCCAACCCCCTGAGAACATTCTGTGCCAAGTGTCTACTCTCTTACAGCAGCTTTGGTGTCCTCCTTCTCTCCTACCTCCATGAGTGCATACAGCCTGAGTTCCCTGAACATGGGGACTTTACCTCGAAGCCTCTACTCGACTAGCCCTCGTGGAACCATGATGAGGAGGAGACTGAAAAAGAAAGACTTCAAAAGCTCACGTGAGTGAAATGGTAACCGTTGTCTCTGGCCTGGAGAAAGTGTGTGGGCGGCTTGGTGTCAGTGGCAAGCGTGGCTTACAGTGCCTAAATGATCACGTGGTTGCTAAGGAGCTCATAGCTCTCTGCCAGAGATCGGGAAAATGATATCTATTATCTCTATGATAGCAACTGCGCCGAATACAATTTCAGACTGAATTAGTTCATACTGCCTCCGCCTACAACTTCGTCTCTGAAATTTTTTCTTCTTCCTCTTTTGAATTGAGAAAATAACCAAAGAGGTGATTTTTTTTTTCCTTGGACACTCCTTCCATTTTGGGTAGCTTTGGACATGAAACATTTGTTCTTAATTTCTTATTCACGCTAAAGCAATTTTTTGAAAATTATGTCCCCCTTCTGATAAATGGAAGAATCCCATGCATTTGTTTAATAAGATTATAAATTTACTCACTTATCTTTCCAGCCAGGTCTAATCATAGTCCAGAGAGGTGTGAGTGTCTCTTGTCCTATCTGTCCCGTTTGGGGGCTGCAATTATGATTCCTATAGAAAAGCTCCAAGAAGATGGGCTCTCTCCCTGTGCTTACCATAGAAATAAAATAAGGAACACCCTGACGTTACCTAAATAGAATGAAACCCAGGTACTTCAAGGCTGGAAGTGAAGAGAGAATGTTCTTATGAGAAGGGATGTCTGGACCTATTGTTTTCCAGAGATTCATCTTCACAAGTGAACCCACCAGGCCACCATCAATGCAGGAGGCCAGCTATCACCCACACTAGGAAACCGTCTCTTCATGCTGCAGGAAGCTGACAGTTTCCTTACAAAGAAAACCATTGCAAAAGATAGGGTCACCACTGTGGTATATTTGTGATTTGGACTTGCATATCCCTTCAAGTATAAGGGGTTTTGTCATCTTTAGTATAGGTACATGACAGTAAATTTGAAATTAGGAAACTAGAAGGAAGATTGAGTTTGATTAAAATGAGAATAAACAGCTTCTGGAGTCTCATATGTTTCTTAGCTGACACCAAAATAAACTATTCCCTCTTGGAAGAAACTAATTGAAGGCAGTAGAGTGAACTGGTGATGAGGACAGAGGCCCGTGTTCTCCTCCCGGCATCATTCCTGTAGGACCTTCAGCAAGTCACCTGAACTTTCTATGCCTTGGCTTCCGTAGCTACAAACTGTGGAGTAATTATAGTGCTTACTTCATTGGGTAATTGTGAAGATTATATGAGAGAATATATATATATTCTTCCCACCAAAAGGGACATATGGGACAAGAAATACACTCCAGGCTATGATGTGAATATATATGTATTATATATGATTAAATATATATTATGCATATTGTAATAAAATTATATGCTAACTATATATACATATATGGATATACATATTATATACATGTTTATGTATTATATGTATAATCTTCACAATTATCCAATGAAATAAGTACTATAATTACAGATAGATAGATAGATAGACACTAGAACACTTGGTAAATGGTTAACATTATTTAACTTACCCATTTGTTAGCCATTTGAATAGTTTAAGTGTTAGTTATTATTCCTTGTATCTAAACTGTCATGTGCAAATATCTATTGGCAGTGTTCTCAAATTTAGGCATTTTTCACAGTGGTTACTTTAGCTTACTACATAGGTTTTGAGTCTTCTATATAAACTTTCAGGGTTGGCGGTGGATTTCTGTATATGAAATTTTTTTAGATATAATGCTTCCATGGGCAGCGTCCCTCACTGACAGCAACAGGCTCACAGCCCTCAGCAGGGAAGAGCAATTAAAGCAAATTCATTACTGTTTGTACTTCTGCTTCACTGGCTAAATATTTATTTGTGTTAGGTAAGACTCGCTGTATTAATTAAAAACATTAGTGGCTACAAATGAGTAATAACATGTTTGGCTATCTCGGGGTGACATTTACATCGCTTGAATTCTGTGGTAGGAAACAAAGCTGAGGCCAGGCTATCACTGACACTCAAAACCAACTCAGAAATTCTGTTTGGAACCAGAAAGTGATGCTCCATCGTAGGAGAAACAGAAATGGAAAGCCGGCTCAAGCGACTTGGGTTTGTGGTACACATTAGCCACCAAGCCTCCGACCGTATGCCGACCAGAACGTTTCTGAATGTGTCTCAAGAGATCAGACATTTTGTATTGCAATCAAACAATAATATCCAACGCTTTTATTCTTACTCCAAAGAGACCTATAAAAACAATGACAGTACTCCGAAGTCATAAAAAAAAAAAAGAATGACGTTTTTTGGATTTGGGGATTTTTTGTTGTTGTTGGTTTTTGTTTGTTTTTTGTTTTGTTTTGTTTTTTAGTTTCTCTTCTCCCTCCCTCCCTCTTTCTCTCTCTCTCTCCCTCTCCCTGTCTCTCCTTGCTTCTTGGTATGGTCATATTAGATGTAAAGGTTTTCCCAAAGAACGGATAATAAAAGTTTGATTATTCTCTCACTATACCATGGTTTACTTCCACCACTTTATTTATGTCTTTATTCTATGCCGTTGCTTCCCCTTTTCTAATACTTACGTTTCTATGGCAACCAGTCCATTTGTATGGACGGTGAATCATGGCAGAGTCACAACAAATATGATAAAAAGCTTCTACGCTGTATTGGTGATGAGGTGAGGCCAGAGCTTGCAAAACAGAAAAAAATTCCCACATATGTTTCTAGTAGAGAAGGGCATGCCAAGAAGAATTAAATTCTTCTCCCCTAAATATTAAAACATTCTGTCTCATTGACCAAAGGGGGAAAATACAAGAAGTCTGTAGCAACACGTGACAAGAATTAAAAGAAGAAAGTGCTGTGTTTGCTTCACAGGAAGAAGGATGAGTATCCCAGCATTGGGCTGGGAGGAGTGTCACAAAGCCCTGGGAGCGTTGCAGGGCCGTGTCACAGAGGGAACCCTCTTGTCACCTCTTTTGGAATTTTACTGACCTTTGCCCCCCAGCCTGGGCTGCTTGGAGGTCAAGGCCTTTTCCAGAACCCTATCATCCCCCCGTCGTGATGGCAGCATGACTGAGCGGTGGACCTGGTTCTTTCCCCCGGCTTCCCGCTCCTGCACACAGAGCCAGTGTAGACTCTGTCTGTTTGTAGTCCGCCTGACCTGCAGCCAAGTGTGGAAGCTAGACCACGTCCCCAGAACGGTCTTTGCTTCTTGTGCCATCACCGTTTACTAGCAAGGTGGCCAACACTGAAGAGAGCTGAAAGGAAGAGAATGAAGAAGCCAAACAACTTCTGTCCCTGCCACCAACCCCTGAGGAAAGGCCGGAAGGCAAAGGCAGCTAATGGTAAGCTTGTAGACGTGAGCAGGGAGCCCTCCAGGAGGTGGCTCATGAGCTGTGCCCTCCCTGCCCCCAGCCCCGCACACCACCAAGCCCACCCTCATTTGGAGAAGGGAGCTGCTGGACGCCGGAACCGGATCATGTGTGCTGGACCCACAGCAGGCTGACTCCGATGGGGAACACTTCAGTGAGCTAGAGGTCGTGAGGTACGGGATCGAATAGTGAGAAACACAGTATATTAATAAATTTTTGCAGCCCATTGCTCTGGATACCTTTTAAATGCTTTTCGTATCAGACAGTCAACCTCACAGACTTCTAAGTGAAGAAAACATTTGGCAGATTTTTAAAACTTTAGAAGCTAAAAAGTGATCATCCATTTTCCTCCTACGTACATTAGGTGAGACAAGACAATTCTTGTCTTGTCTGTGAACAGAACCCTCCAAGTGTGAACAGGAACAGGACAGAGCAGATGCAAAGCCTGAACACAACCTTGCCACAAACTAGTGAGCAAGATGCATGTACGTTAGAGCAGCAACTTAGCCATCCCCTTCTTCACCTGGGAGTAGAAATGGGCACCCTTCAGGCCAGAGCCAGTACCTTCCCAGAGTATCTGCTACTGGGGAGAGGATCCATCGTACAAATGTGTAAACTACAGGGTTATAATTCATAATAAATCACCTTTTTCTCTTGCTGGTTGGCCGCATTAATGAAGCAGGGTAATCAAGCTCATCCTTTTTTCCTCCAAGTAATATTGGTTGTTTTTTTCTCCTGGCTCATCATCTTTAAATGTACAATTTATCTTTTTCATATCTGGTAATAATTTGCAAGACTTTAATATCTGTGAGTAATCAGTATGTACAATTTCAAATGAAATTTTATTGTTTCAGAGAACAGATTTCAATATACCAAAGGACATTCAGAGTTAATTATAAAAACCTAGATTATTTAATATAATCCTATATTTATTAGATAAATTATAAATTTATATAATTATAGAACCAACATTTAACATATTTTTAATCCTAAATTAAAGGTTCTAATAATTTATATTGCCTCGAATTTCCTCCTGATAAAGCTTATGAACTTAACAATGCCCACAGTGAGCACGTATTTCTATTTTCAAAACCTTTCAGAGATTTCAGTTTCTCTATTGTCTTCTCTAACCGTTCCAAAAATGTAGCAAGTCTGTCCTTTGAGAAGGTCTTTACTGTATCCAGCCTAATCCTTCCTATTATGATTGATCCATTTCTTCTTAATTCTCTCTTAGTGGAAATGCCAATTAGCTGACTTAAGGGTTCAAAGCTTTTAACTCCAATTAAGTAATCCAAAAATCTATACAAAACTGAGACCTCAAATGGAAAAAAATACATATTAATATGAACCTATAGGAAAATTAACAGGAGTAAAATATTCCTAATGAAGCCCAAAAATCATCACCTGGAAGACAGAATAAAAGTAATCTGCCACATGCTTAGCGAAATAAGTCAATCGGAGAAAGACAACTATCATATGATCTCCCTGACATGAGGAAGTGGAGATGCAACATGGGGGGTTAAGGGGGTAGGAGAAGAATAAATGAAACAAGATGGGATTGGGAGGGAGACAAACCATAAGTGACTCTTAATCTCACAAAACAAACTGAGGGTTGCTGGGGGGAGGGGGGTTGGGGGGGTGGAGTTATGAACATTGGGGAGGGTATGTGCTATGGTGAGTGCTGTGCAGTGGGTAAACCTGGCGACTCACAGACCTGTACCCCTGGGGATAAAAATATATGTTTATAAAAAAAAAATTAAAAAAAAAAGTAATCTGCCAGAGAGGTGACATTCTACTATTGTGTTCCTGCCTGCAATGAGAACAGACCGGAAAGAAACCCAACTCCAGATCGTTCCGGAGTACCTCTAGTCGTTGTCTGCCACCAACAGTAAATGCATGATATGAAGGACAATCAAAGTACAGTTGACATCAACAAAGGCACACTAGAAAGTGTGATCTGAATTAATAAGGGATATCGCTTCTTGGCCTTTTGGCTGAGATCAAGTGTGAATTAATATGAGGTAGTCCCTGAGTCAGATCCGGGAATGATCTAGGCCACCACCTGTAAAAAGCTCAGAGTTGGAAGCTCAGAGTTGGAAGCCCCCTACTGCAGGCTACTTTAATCTCAACAGTACGAATTCTGTTGTGAGGACAGTGATGGTGCTTCTTAAGAAGAAGGTGATTTTCCTTCCTCCACCCAGACAAGTGATCCATCTCACCATCCTCTGCCCTGTCGGCTACAATGTTGGAATGAACCACATGGTAGAGATCACTGGGGTCCGAGGAACAACTTCTAGTTCCATAAGTCAGCAGAACCTGATGACTCCAAACTGAACTATTGATTCCTGAAAGGAAAATGTGGATGATGTCACAAGACCCAGTTTGTTCTTTGTTTATCTAGTGTTCTTTGAATGTTCCAGACATTGGGATTTCAAAGAGGAAGAGAGCTCTGTCCCAATCTTTAGAGAACTCAGGGTCAAGTGGAGAGAAAGTCAGGCAAATAAAAACCTGATAAATACTGAAATAGGACCGTGCGTTTGAAGTGCGGATATGTGAAGGATGAGTGCCTGGATAAGGCAGGGAAGGGGACATTGAAAACCCAGGGGAAGGGCTAAAGGGACAGAGGGATGAAAACAGGGCTGCAGAACATGGCACATGGAAGGAGCATCAAGAAGCACAAGACTGGATAGGCAGAAGAGCATGAACTTAGGAAGGGTCTTGTGAGCTCTGCCAGCATTGAAGATGATGTTCTACAGGAAACGGGGAGGCATTAAAAGATTCTAAGTTGGGCGATGACCTGCATATATGGGAAAAGCCACTCGGGCAGCAATTTGAAGGCTGTTAGCATAAGACCAGAGACAAGGACCCAGGTTGTAAGTCTATAGTGATCTCTGTGAGCAATGGTGAGGGTCTCCTGCAGAGAGTAGATGAACTGGGGGCCTCCTCACGAAGAGAAAGTTAATCTGGCAATAATACGCAGAAAGTGTTGGGGAAGGACCAGAAACATGCGTGTTCAAATACTTTAAATAAAAATAGTAAAAGCCGGAATTGAAGCATTAACGGTAAGAAGGGAAAAGAGGATTTGTAGAGGTTATATTTTAGTGGTCATCTTGAAAGGACTTACTAGTCGATTGAATTTGAGACAATGGGGATGTTGGGAGTCCAAGCCTACTTCTGGATTTCAAGCCTGGTGAACTAGAAGTATGATGGTCCTATTCATAGAAACAATAGCAGGAATGAGAAAGAGAAAATGATTAACTCAATTTCTAAAACTTTGAGTTTGAAGAGTCAGTGAGATATTCTTGTGGATGGGATATCCAAGTCAGGAAATTCATCACTGGAGCCTGAGAGAAACCGGAGGGTTAGATTTGAGAAGATACACACAGAGGTCATATTACAGAAGTGTGAGAAGTGAGTGAGGGAAAGGAAAGGGGAGAAGGCTAAGAGAACCATGGGCAACTCTCTGCAGTGCAGAGAAGGCAAAGGGACTGAAAGGGGGTGGGAAAAGTCAGAAACTAAGAACAAAGCTTCATTGAAACCAAGAGAGTAATTTCAGAAAGAAAAGGATGGTTCCCAAGGCCAGTTGCTGCAGGGTAGTTGGAGTGGATAAGGCCATTGATTTTGGCAATCAGGAAGTCATCAGTGAGAGTAGATTCGGTAAAGGGTGAAGGGAGAGGCCAAGTTTAAAGCAGTTTTGGAATCAGTACAAAACCTATAGGGAGAGGTCAGAAAGCTAGGAGAGTGAGCAGGAAAGTTGGAAAAAGTGAGAAAAAATTTTATGGCACAAAATCACAGGGAGAGGAAACAGATAATATCAGAAAGGAGGAGCTGGCCTTGAAAGGGAAGGAAGGATACATCCTCCTGAAACAGGAAGAAAAAGGAAATGAGACCAGATAATGATACAGAGAAATCGAGGTGGAAAAGAATGTTTTTAAGGAACTCTTATAAATGAAAGAAATGAAGTAGGACTAAAGTTTGGTCCTTAAAGTGTTAGAAATGTTTGAGACAGATCCTATGAGAAATCAAATAATACATAACAGAAGATTCCAGGGCCCCATAGAGAATTGTGTGAATTCTTAGTGACTTTCTCTAGCACCCTTCAGCAAACTAGTAAGAGCAGTGGACTCGAGCAGATATCAAAGAGTATAGTGTATTAGACTATAGAAAATGTCATGAGGTTTAGGCATCTCTGATACCAGCAGATGCCTCATTGAAGTGGTCACCAGGGGTCCGAGTGGATTGTGGAGGGAAATGATGCTAGTAAAAGGCACTAGGTAAAGACAATAGCTTTCAAACTGGGTTCCCCAGATTCACACTTGAGGGATGGGGATGCCTCCTTTAGGGTCTCCTTTTCCTACCTCAGTACCTTCAGTAGCTCTGTTTTTATCTGGAATACAAAGGCATCCCTTACACACTTTCATTTGAAGTGGGGAGAGGGGATGGAAGCTATTGCTACCAAAACCATTTGAAAACCACTCGATTGGAAGACAAGTGAAAGAGAGGGCTAGAAGTCATCAAGAAGGGAAAGTTAGGTCCTAAGGACTGGGAGAGATGGCTAATAAGGTTGCATGATCAATAAGGAGGGTTCTGATATGAAGATCCCAGAGCGCTCTCCAGTTTGAAGGATGCTGGTGTCCAGCACAGGGCTCTGCTTATGGAGAGCTGAAGTTGGGTGGGATTGCCAATAATCAGCACCAGGAGAGCTAAAGAACCATAAACATAGTGCATTGTGTGTTGCCATCGTGTCAAAAATACTGAGGATATGGAAAAGCTATAGATCAGAGGAGGCAAATTAAGAGTCAAGCCCTGATGTCAGTGAAGAAATGGGAGGAAACAGGAAAAGTAGAAAAGTATGGGTTTGAAGGTGAGACAAAGGAGAAGTATGTACATAATATAGAACTTTAAAATAGAAGTGGCTTAAGGTAAAAACAAAAACAAAAACAAAAAAACAAAAACAACACCGGATGTGTGCAGCAAGAAGGGTTATGAACTCTTCTTTCTCCTTGCCCCATGCAGGGAAAGCGAAAAGAAAGTGGCTTCTGGTTGCAGCGAGTTTTGAGATATATGGTGTCAGCTAGTTTCAATTACAGTAAAGAGGCCAAAGGATCTCTTTTGGAGAAGTGACAGTCCAACATCAGACTGTTCAGAGAGCTTGCTCATAGAGAGTAAGGGAGGCAAGGGTCCCAGTGGGCAATGCTGATAGGCATCTAGGAGTGGAATGGCCTTTCCATGACCCAAACTAGGGATAGGAACAAGACAGAGATGGGTACCTGGGGCTTAGATGAGTATCAAAAGAATGGATGCAATAAGAGATGACAAAGTAGGCTGGAGATGCCACGAGATAGAATGAAGATCAAAGAGCTTAAATTGGGGGAAAGGAGAAATGTAAAGTTTCAACAATTCCATCATACCAACCCAATACTAGAATAAGGTTGATGACGAGCTCGTCCTCACCACTCCAGGAGCCAGACTTTTTCTTCAAAGCTGAAGGTCAGATTGTTTATAAAAAAAACCTTAAAGCTTAGGCACAAATGGATAGAGGGAAAAACGTATTAGACCAGTTAGCTCAACTCTTTTTTCATAGGAAAGAAATTAATGCCTTCCCCCAAGGTTACATAGCTGGTTGCCTGCTGATGGAGCCAGGATCAAAAGCCAGATACCCAGTCCCAAAGCTGTCCTCTGCCTACAGCTCCCACAACTGTCCCTGGTACCAGGGCTGAGTATGTGACTGAGTATGTAACACTGTGACTAAAATGTGATAGATATCGGGAGATTCCTTTATCTAGTTCAGCTCTGATGAAATTTTTGTCCAGAAGACCAAAGTATCACCTCCATCATTGCCAATGAGCTTTTTTTTTTTTTTTTTCCCCAAAGACATGATCTGTGTCAGAAATGCTGGTCTTCTGGGACGCCTGGGTGGCTCAGTTGGTTAAGCATCCAACTCTTGATTTCAGCTCAGGCCATGATCTCAGGATCTTGAGATCAAGCCCTGCATCCCACTCTGTGCTGGGCTTGGAGCCTGCTTGAGATTCTCTCTCTCTTCCCCCTTCCTTTCTCTCTCTCTCTCTCTCTCTCTCTCTCTCTGTCTAATAATAAGAAAAGAAAGAAATGCTGGTATTCCTTGTGCTTGCCTCAACCCAAAGTCATTTTTTTGTGTTTGTTCCTCTAGTGTCATTAGCCTCCAGCACAGTGGGTTTGGCTGGGCAGGTCGTTCACACAGAAACCACAGAAGTTGTGCTGACAGCAGATCCTGTCACAGGATTTGGGATCCAACTGCAGGGCAGTGTGTTTGCCACGGAGACGCTCTCTTCTCCACCTCTGATTTCCTATATTGAAGCTGACAGCCCAGCAGAGAGGTAAGACACCCTTTCACAGCATCTCTCTCTGTGCATTTCTTGTGCCGGCTATCTCTGACTAGCTAATAAATTATGGAACAGTGCTCAATGCAGGAAATGCAGGATGTAATGAACTCTCTGTTTGACCAATAAAATTTTATGTTCTTGATAAGATTTGAGAAGAATAATGAGCACAGATGCCTTTATCTGGCAGATTTTTGTCCATCAGGGACTGGTGGCCATATTAACTAAAAGGGAAAGAACATCTCTAAAGTTCAAACTTTATTATAATAATTTCTCTGCTGTGCGGGGACTGTACATTCACCATTACTTTATATTGATCCAGATCCGATTATAAGAATACCACAGTGCTAAATTATGAATCACTTCTCTGGGATACATCGAGACTCCCTCACATTTGTAGCCGTCAAATGCAAGAGGGCAGGACCTTGCAGTTGATCTCATATGATGCCCACAGCATTGAATAAACAAAACCAAATGGGTATGCTATTTCACAAGGATCAAACAAAATAGATTTGGCAACATCCACCTGATAATTACCTGCTCTGTCTACAACCTCTAACATGTGGTTCTAAATATAGATGTGGGGTGCTACAGATCGGAGACAGAGTGATGGCCATTAATGGGATTCCGACTGAAGACAGCACCTTTGAGGAAGCCAACCAGCTCCTCCGAGACTCTTCAATCACAAGCAAGGTCACACTGGAAATCGAGTTTGATGTCGCAGGTATGATCATATATTCGCAAGTCAGCTGCAAAGTTGGCAGTGGATTGTGTGTGAATTATATGGATTATGTGGTAGAAGTGGAACTATTTTTTTTATATACCAAACACATTTTTGTTTAGGAGATTTGGGGTATCATTTTGTATTGAGCATTGTTTTTGTACTATTCATTAAAGTGTCACCATAAGAACAGTTGAAAAGAAATGTGACAAAATGAATAAGTAATAGCTACTATAAGGGTGATAAAAAAATCACATAGCCTGTATTCTTCCAGATTTGCCCTTATATGCCAGAGAAGCCATATTCTTCTGTCACGCAGACAAGAAAAGCCTCTCTTTGACCCTTCCTGCTGCAAAGTTTGGTAGGGAACAATGAAAATTCATTAGGTGGATTTATATAAGCACAGTTGGTAAATATTTGGTCTCTAGTGTTAAAAAGAAAACTGCAACAGACACTTGTTAAAAACAAGGAAGGCTTTCTTCAGGACTATTTCAAGAGAAATCAAGACTTGGATAGGGAAGAGAAATTGAATTTAAGTTCAAAAACAGTAAGGACAGCTGGGAATGTAAGGCCACCAAGCAAGGGAAGGGTGAGGGAGTCATGGAATGGAAACTGACTAACAGGAACTTACTTCGATATCGAGGGTGTGGAGATAAGGAATTTGATGGTCTATTCAAGGGTGCAGAGATTCTCAATAAACTGACTGAGCAGGATTCTTACTAAAACGGGGCTAAGCAGGCCATGGACTAGGCCAAAGACAAGGCCTGGTTGAGAAGAGGAGCCTGATATAAGTTTGGTCAGGAAGGGAATCCTTGTCAGTAGCTAACAGGTGTGTGAGTTATAGAGGTGGGTGCCAGTTTCTATTTAATAAAATTGTCTTCACACAGTGAAGAGCCAATAATCTTTACCAATCACTAAAGATGTGCCTTCGGACATAGAGATTGCATTATCCCAACAAATACTTGCTGAGTGTTCACTGGGGGTCCATTGGAGATGAAACAGTAGACAAGGAGTGAAAAAAAATCCCTTTCCTGGTGAAGCTTGTGGTATTACAGAAAGTTGATTTTTAAGTTAACAAATATCAATGGAAGCAATAATTAGTGCTCTGAGGAAAATAAAGCAGAAAGGGGAATTAGAGGATGACTGTGGGGAGCTATTTTCATGGGATGACTCTTGGAGGAAGTCATATTTGACCTGAGATTTGACGGTTGGGAAGGAGCCAGCTCTGTGGGAGTATGGGAGCAGAGTACTCCAGGTAGAAGGAACAGCCAGTGTAAAAGACTTGAGCCAGAATAATAAGCTGGGTGGGTTTGGCTGGGTGGCTCTTACCGAGGTGCCTGGGTAGCTCAGTCACTTAAGTGTCCGACTCTAGATTTCAGTTCAGGTCATGATCTTATGGTCATGGGATCAAGACCCACATCAGGCTCCACAATAGTGGGGAATTAGCTTCAGATTCTCTCTCTCCCTCTGGCCCTCCCTCCACTCACATGGGCGTGCATGCTCACACACACACTCTCAAGTAAGTAAATGAGTCTTTAAAAGGGTGAGGAGGGACGCTTACTGTAGCATAAGGAAGTTGGGAATGGGGATTAGATTTGATGTTGGAGATGGGGTGAGAGAGATTAGAAGGGGCCAATTAATGCAGTGCCTTGGTATAAAGAATTTATATTCCAAATGTAATGATATCATGGAGCGTTTTATGGACAGTAGTGAGTTATCCTGATGGATGTGTTAGAGATCCTTCTGAAATGAGAAGGGACAATTGCAGGAGCAGAAAACCTAGTTAGAGAGTTGCAGGGGTTGGATAGGTAAACAATGATGGCAGCTTGGACAAGGTGGTAGAGCTAGAGATAGTGACCAAGAGTGAAATTTAGGACATGGCTTGAAGCAGGGCTCACAGACCTCGCTTATGGAATGAATATGGAAGATGAGAGAAAGGGAAGATCATGGATGACTCCTGAGGTGAAAGGGTCAGTAATTGAGTAAATAGTGATGACTTTAAGGAGAGGAAGACTTGAAGAATGGAAATTTGAGGATGACAACAAATTCTATTTTAGACCTGAATTGGTAAACCCACTGCCAATTCTAGGGGGGAAAGTACAAGCAGATCCTTTCCTGAATTCAAAAGACAATTGTCGAGCACCAGTCTCTAAATGCTAGGCACTGTGTTACCTTCAGATCATTTAAAGGGAAAATATAAAGGATAAATATCCTCTAAGTGCTCAGAATCAATTAGACAAGAGCAAGAACTGTTGCAAGATAAGAACAGACTTACTGAGTGTGTGTTGCCACTGGAATGTAAAAGGATGGGCCCAGGGTACCTCCAACAATACCTCCTGGAGCCTAGGATGGGCGGGGGAGGTGTCTGGGCCAGAGAGCAGCCCTGACGGGGGACCACCTGTCAGTGATTAGTAAAGTCTTTGGAATACAGGCGAGCACTAAGGAATGAGTGACAGGAAGGAGGGGATTCTGCCTGAGGAGAGATTAAACTAAAATTGAAAGGGGAAGGATGCTAGCAAAGGAGATAATGAAGATGCAGTCTGAGAAGGGGAAGGAGAATCAAAAAAGGTAGCATTTTGGAAACCAAAGCAAGAATTTCAAGGTCATGGTCAATAGCATAAAGAATTTCAGAGAATTCAAGTAGTATAAGGCAGGAAGGGTCTGCTGTATGTGGCAATTAGGAAAAAGCACATTGCAGAGCAGTTTCAGGGAACTGAAGTGCCCAAGTCAGACTAGTAAACTGAGGGGTGAGGAAAGGGTGGAGAACTACAGACAAGCTATGCTTGCTTTCTGCCAGGGAGCTGGGTTTTGGAACAGAGTATGGCCAGACAAATGCAGTGAATGGATAAAAAAGATGGAGGCCACTGTGGACTTCTCTTTTTAGAACTGCTCCAGCATTTCATTACATACTGGACGCTCCTTTATACCTCCTTATCCTCCACCCAGTGGTTCTCAGTCAAAATCAGTTTTGCCCTAGGGAACATGTGGCAATGTTAGGAAGTGTAGCTGTGGATGAAAAAAGATGGGATAAACGATAGAGGGGGCTTCAGGGTCCAAAGGGGAGGTATTTTGTTTTGTTGTTTTGTTTTGTTGCTACTGGAGAGATCTGAGCACGTTTGTGGCCTAAAGTAAATGAAGGAGAAATTAGATAACTGATGAGTATGGGTCCCTAAAGGGATGAGAGGAGACGTTATCTAGAACATAGGTAGGCCTAAGACAGAAGGTTGGCAGCTGCCTCTTGTGAGTTTAAAGAGAAGGATGTGAGAATATAGGTACATTTTTATCTGTGTTTAGGGTTTCATGTAAGAACTGTCAATCGAAGGTAAAAAGATAAGCATCTTGGGGAGTTGAAAAGAGTGATAGTTTAGAATACCTAATGGGGAAATGAGTGAGAAAGCTAGCCAGACTCCTGTAAAGGGATTTTCAAGCTGCGCAATGGACCAGGCAGAGTCCAGCAGCTCCAAGTGGATAGCCCTGTCAACCTGTTATGGTCAAGTAGTTCTTGGTCAGGTGACCTTAGCTACTGAGGAATAACAGTAGAGGTGGTGGGCAGTTAGACTGAGCCAGAGATGGAGATTTCTGGAGAAGTTTCAACAGGAAGAAAACTAAAGTCACAGTGGGTAAAATTGTTCCAGGAAGAGCACATGAGTAAATATGGTGACAACCTCAGACATCACGATAATATTTATCAAATGCTTGCTCTATAGCATGTCACTCCTCTAAGCACTGTGTATTAGCTCACTTATAACAGCAGTGGAGGTTACTATGATTACTATGAAAACTGAGGCCCACATAGTGACTGGTAGGGCTGGGATTTTCACCCAAAGGACACGCTCTAACCACTGGACACAGGTTGCAGAGGGGAAGTCAATAATGGAGTCACGTGATAGACTGGGGAGAAGGGGAGGACTGAAGAATCTAGGAGTATTCAGGAAGAGAAATGGGCATACCAAGAGAAAGTTGAGAAGGGAGCCAATGGCAGGAGACTGAGTCAAAGTGGCATATTAGAGCTTAGGATTTCAGAGGTCAAGAAAGGCTCAGGGTAGCAGGCCGCTGAAGTGATATAGAGTGGAGGTGAATATTAGTCAACCAGAGGTCTGGGAATTGGAAATACAGTGTAAAGGAAAGACCTTGCATACCATGGGATTTCCCAGAAGGAGGGTGTGACTTGGAATGAGGAAAGGAATATGAACTAGCTGCTCTTGACACGCCAGACGCAATCCTATCAAAGGATCTCTGCAGTTTCCCCCACCTGTAGCTCTTCCCCACCATGTTCAGGTGGTCTGCTCACTTCCTTCAGGTCTTTGCTCAAATATCACTTGTTCAGAGAATCATTTCCTCACCATCTATCACTTTGTCCCCTTTCTCAGATTTATGGTTCTTCTTAGCCTTTCTCATGCTCCGATGTTATATTGTGGATTTATTTATTGTCTTGTCTTCTCCAGCAGAAAAAAATCTATGCTGTCAGGGACTTTGTGCCTTCTGTTCATGAATGTATCCCAGCCCCTAGAATAGTGCTTGGAATGCAGGAGACTCTCAGCCGAGATGCGGTGAATGAATGAATGAAGTACAGTTACCTCTCCTGAGGGACTGGAACCAGGAATTTCAGTTTGCATCCAGAACTGGTCCCATACCCACTATTTCTCTGGGGTTCCGGTCTCTCCGTGCTGCATGTTTCTGCATATCTGCTCTATTTGTCTCTGCACAAGTTCTTTCTGACTTTTGAGTGTACTTGATTGCCCCATCTTTGCCAAGACCAGCCAGTTCAAATTTCTAATTCTTAGATTTGGTTCATCACAGCTAAGCAGGAATCTGGTAGAAGGACCCTGTAAGAATCAGTCAGGTGGTGGCGAGGGTATGGTTTTCAAAGGAGGCTGTCCGCAAGCCCCAGAATGCCCTCACTACAAGCACACAACATTAGTGGTGAAGTAACTCTTCCGATCCACTACCTTCATTTATTTATAAATGGGGAAATTGAAGTTTGGGTGGGGAAACTCAAGGTC